CGGCCCTGCCCTTTACAAATATGCAAAAATATAAGTTGGCCCTTATGGACGAGCTTGAGTTTTCTAGTCCGCATTTGCCGCGGCAAGTGCTTGAAAATGTCCAATTTTCTGCGTTTTTGTTCCAGATTTTTCCAGGGTTTTCGTGGTTTCCGTTGGTTTTTCTCCCGAAAAAACCGCTGAAAATCAAGAAAACGTTTTTTTTTCGCGGGGTTCTTTGCAGCAAATGGACTAGAAAACTCACACTCGGCTTCTAGGCCATCGGATCCCACTTCGCCTTTTTCATGCGGTTTTTTTGCATTTTAGGAATGTATTGATTATTTTTTCACTATTTTTATGTGAATGTACATACATTTTTGCACAAAATCAAGCAATTTTCGACCCAAAAATGTGCCAAAAATCACAGTTCAAACCGCCGTTTTCTCTCGCCCCGAAATTAGTGAGAACTAACTTCAAAGTTCTATTTTCCGTCTCGCATTTTTCTCACCCTTCTCTAGTCAGTCAATTTGTGTTCATCTTTTTTCAAAAAAGACTTCTTTTTCGGTTGATTTCTTCGAAAATAAGATTTCTCCCTCCTTGCCCTTCGCCCTTTACTGTGGTGAAACCAAGGAAGACTTCAAAATCAAAATTTTGAAAAATGAAAAGCTCGGGCCTTCAATTAGACACATTTCTGATCTATTTGTCCAGGTTTCAGCTCAATCGGTTAACTTTGAGTGGGCAAAACGGCGCGCGACATACATAACAACATACGGAATTTGGTGAATGTAGTTAGTAACGATTTTTGTTTAAAAATCGACATTCCCCTTATAACTGTCACTCAAAATATTTAAATTTCAAACCAAATTTCAAACCCGATTTTCTCGAAATTGGAATATCCGCAGCAAAATCAAAATATGTTTGAAAATGTCTCAACCTCAGCTTTCGAATGATGTCAGTCTCATATCAAAGTTTCATATCCCAGTTACAATCTTCTATGGTAAGAGAGGCTCTATTTATTCCAGATATCCCAAGGCAAACGCGTCTTTGAACAATTTAACTACGACTAACGATGTAACAATTCCTCTTTCTCTTCCATGTGTGAACTTTCGTGATGCCCAGAAGGGCATTCTCTATACAGATGAGGTCACCCGCACCCCCCCCCCCCCCGATTTCTACCCACCGAACGCACCATTCGACTTACCGAATGGACGTGTACCTTTTTTCAAACGCACCCTATTGAACAACCCATTCCATTCGAACATAACTTCGACAAACGACGTAACAATTCCTCTTTCTCCTCCATGTACTCCCGTTGTGCCCACCTGGTCAGTTTTTTCCTGGGAGCATACTCATCACGCAATATAACAAGGGATTTCTGCGTCACTTCTCTCTATGTGTACTCTCTATCCAGTTGGGGTGCAGAAGTCAATAGGGCACCTACCAATACAAAAACAGTCTTCGATCATTCATTCTTCATTCTCTTCTTGTTTCTCGCTCTTTTTTGTCTGCATTTTCTTGCTGATCGACATATCATATTGAATTTTCAGAGGAGTCATGTCTACGATCAATTTGTCGGATTTTATCAGGGAAATTTCTGATAGAATCGGCAATTATACTAAGCCAGAGTCCCTGTCCCAATGGTGCAAACAAATTATGAGCGAGTCATGGGCTGACAAGTTGAGCTATGCGGAGCATATGAGAAGCAGGTAAGTGTTGTCATCTTCAGAGGAAGATAAGTTATTTTTGATTTTCAGAGTAGCACAGAAACTCAAAAGAATTGAGACATTGGATGGATTTTCATTGATGGAGAAGCTTCAGTTGGTTTTTATTTTTAGTAGTCCAGTCAGTGACGAATTTGTGCAAATGTGAGTTAGTTTTGACAATAGTGAGCTAATAAAAATATATTTTCAGATTGAGGGATGCTAAATTCAAAATCGATCGGGACAAAAAGAAAAAGATCTGCTGGTTCTCCACAGAAGATGACAGCGTTATGAGATTTTCAGATCACCACTCATCTGTAAAGTACTTCCAAGGTGTTCTGAATCTGCATAGTTTATTGCGGAAAAATGTGAATAAGTAAGTTTTATTTAACTGCGAACTTCTATAATAAAGTTTTTTTTCAGCAAAAAGATGGAACAAGAGAAAGAGCAGAAAGATGTGGAAAATGATATCCCAAGCCCAGCGGTTCGAAAGATCAAGGAGGAACCAATTGAGAATTTACCAATTGAACCAAAACAGGAAGAAAAGGGTGCGAAAGTCAAAGAAGAGCCAATTGGAAATATAGCAATGAAGCAAGAGCCAGAGCAGGAAGTAGATGAGTTTATGGCCATTGATCGAGATGTCCGACATACAGCATTCAACGGCCGAATCAATTATGATGAGCTAGATGAGCAGAAATTTGTCCATCCAGGTTTCCCACAAAATACAAAACTGGAGACGCCCATCAGACCCCAAAAAAGGCGACAGAGTTCCACCAAAGTCAGCGCAAAGCGTGCGAAAACAGAAGAGATAGCTTCACCGGCTACATCATCGGAGTCTATTGCTACGTCATCCATTAAGAAGATTGTGAAAGTTGAGACAGCTGAGAAGACTCCTGCCCGGTCATCTAACAATTCCGTTCAGTTAACCAATCCAGAAACTGACACGTCAGTCATTCCAAAAGATGAGAAATCGATTGGAACCTTTTCCACGTCATCAAACATTTCATCTACTGCTGAAGCCACACCAAAAGTCACGTCAGCCATTTCAAATACAGCAGCAAATACAACATCGGGTTCTATTGTTACGTCTTCCAAACAGAAGCTTGTGAAAGTTGAAAAATCGAAAACGTCAAGAGAATCGTCTTCTATTACATCGAATTCCACATCACCTCCTGATGCTTCATCTTCGGTAGAAACAACATTGTATGCTTCCGCGCAGCCACCGTCTCCAGAAGCTACGTCAACCAAGACGCCTCCAGTTGAGGCGAAAATTAGTGTGATTGCTCTGGCGACTCAAATTGAAACCATCGCATCATACAATGAATTGAAGAGTCTTGAAAAGAAAGCTTCTCGAGCAATCGAGAAGATGAACGAAATAGGGGACAAGGTAAAAACTCATAACTGATAATTTAAGACGTACCTTTTTGCAGAATATATCCGTCAAGAAGTTCAATTTATTGATTGGTTCCATGATTGTTTCCCTTGAAGAAAACAGAATTCCTAATAACAGAACGTCGATTTCTTTCATGGTCCTTCTCAAGCAACTGCATCTATTCTTGATCAAACCCCTTGGACCACAAATTGTGCATGAGGCAATGGAAACAGTGGCTGAAAAAACCGAAGAGTTCAAAAATAATAATGACGGGGTAAGATTGTTTTAAGGAAGATTTAGGAATCCAATTTCTGAAATTTCAGGTACCACCCACCCTACTCTCCGACTGTCTCACCAATTTATTGATTTCCACCGGATTCTATAACCAGCTCAATTAATCAGTTTCTCGTTTTCAAATTTCGTTGAATTTTTTATTCCCGGGTTTATACCCCTCGTATTAATTTAAACTGTCATTTCTATGTTAATTTTTGTCACTCCCATTATTTGTTTGCCCAGTTTTGTCTTTGTTTTCGTTCACATTTTCCAACTTTCTTGTTTGTGAAATTCTGTTTCACAGTTCGGTTTATTATTGTTATCTGAAATTTTCCCCAATTTTGTATTGTTTCAAATTTTTATAAACTGATTCAGAACTCTTATATTCGATAAGGCAAATGAAGATTTCACTGAATCCGAAATACGGAATGAAACAAATTTTTCGTTCTTTAATTTTGCATTGTTAGGAAGTTCAAAAAAGTCAGAGATTCTTTCAAATTAACACATAAGCTCAAAATCCGGAATAAAACATATCTCCCGGAATCCGGACAAATCCTCTCGGAATCTCTCGGAATCCGGAATTCGGACACAAATATTTTTCTCGGAATCCGGAATCCGTGCATCTCTTCTAACGACGTAACGATGCCTCTTTCTATTCCGTGTAATCCGTGTAAAAAATATTAAAGGAATGATCATGATCATTGTGCCAGCGTTCAAGACTTTTTTGAGCTCTGGGAACTGGAAATTGAGCTCGAGCTTTGAACTGAAAAAATATACCCAATTAAAAAATTTTCAAAGCTGTCTAAAATGTTTGAAAGATGTTCTAGGTGTTTAAAATTGCTATCAAAATTGTTATTTTGTACTAAAAATTAAGTTTCAATCGTAAAATCAAGGGTTTTTACGAAAATCAGAATCACAATTTTTCAAAAAAAAAATCAAATTTCAGTTCAGCTTCAATTACAAACAACGGCTCAGAATAGCATAACAACAGACTACTGCAAAAGTTCAGACTACTGCCGAAGTAATTCCTATCATTTTCAGCTCGAAATCTTATCCAGGAGCGAAGTTATTCTAGATTTATTACAAAACCCCAAAAAAATGGTGAAAATGTCTGAAAATAATTTTTCCTAAAACTTGAATAGATCAATCAATTTTTATGTAATGGGCTGTTTTGAGACTATATTTTAAACAGTTTCCAACGAAAAAAGTTCAACTTTGCTTTGTAAAAAGCACAGGATTTTTCATTTTCCAAGGTGACGTATATATATTGACAGCTTGCATATTGGTATTTCGGATGGTACGTGGTCAAGAAAACTGGTGAAAATGTGGAACTGTTGCCCGTTTTTTGATATCTCTTCCAGTTTTTCTATGCGCCCAAAATATACATAGAGGTTTCGGCTCTTTATGACAAGGGGGGGGGGGGGTTTATGACAAAGGGGATGAGATAAGACGGGGCCCATGAGGGGGGGGGGGGG